AGAAAGAAAGAAAGAAAGAAAGAAAGAAAGAAAGAAAGAAAGAAAGAAAGAAAGAAAGAAAGAAAGAAAGAAAGAAAAGGAGGAGGAGGAGGGATGGAGGGAGAGAAGAAGGAAAGAAGAAAAGGAGAGAAAGACCACAATTACTTTTGCACCAACCTAATTACATGTGTTAGTTTAAGCAATATACACATAAGGAAGTTATCTTTAGAGGAGAGAACTATAAAAGACATATTTTCTTTTAACGTTAAAAACCAATATTGTAGAACTGAAAGAAAACATATAAATAATAATTAAAAGAATGCACAAAGCAAGTTATTCAGGAATCTACCACAATGAAATTGTCAGGTATCAGCCAAAGTAAACTGCCGCACTTTCATGTTTCTGTCCCCAAAAAGGAAAGGTTATATAAAACACCATTAAAATGGTGAGCCTGTAGAAGAAGCTATTTCACTAATAACTCCATCATTGACTACACACTGTATTGAGCTAATATGGGAAAAGATTTGCTTTTACAGTCTGTGGAAGATTAAAATTCCATATTCTTCATGCCAAGTATCAGAGTCAACATTTGGGCCTTGGCCTGACTTGGTAATCCTGATGGATCTCAGAAGATGTGGAATGAGGACTAAAATCCCCTAAAACCTGTTTATAAATGGTTGTAATGGAAGTTTGGATTATCTGGCATTTCATTTTAGGGGACTTTTCTTCAGTCTTAGTTTTACTTTCTTTTAAAAAAGAAACAAAGTAAATCTGATTATGTTATTCCTCTATTTGCAAATCTATTATGGATAACCATTGTCTAAAATATAATGCTCAAACTCCTCCTTATCAAGGCAAACAAGACCCTTCTGACAACCTACCTTAACCAGTCTTATCTAGGGTGTGTCTCCACTCACCTAACTCCATAGCCCTCCTAATACACACACACACACACACACACACACACACACACAGAATTCAGTGAAAAGTTTGAAGACACTGTGCCAACACAGTGAATTTCACCTCTGTGAAGCCTTCCCCAAGTCTGTGTAGCACTTATCATATTTTATTTTAGTATTTTGTTTTGTTTTGAGACAGAGTCTCGCTGCCGCCCAGGCTGGAATGCAGTAGTGAACTGCTTGACCTGAGCTCAAGAGATCCTCCTGCCTCAACTTCCCAAGTAGCTGGGACTCAAGGTGCATGCCACCATGCCCAGCTAATTTAAAAAAAAAATTTGGCTGGAAATGTTACCCAGACTGGTTTGAACGCCTGGTCTCAAGCAGTGCTCCCCTTCAGTCTCCCAAAGCGCAGGGATTACATGTGCAAGCCACCACTGCCAGCCCTGTTTTATTTAAGTTCATATTCTCTTCTCTAAACGGTTCAAATAAACGGGCCAAGTACTCAACATCTGGTAAGTGAAACAGTACTATATTATAATTGTTTATATCAATAAATCAGAAAAATGCTCTGAGAAGGGTTTTGAACCCAATGCCAATTTTATTGTGTTTGTTTGTTTGTTTTTAAGAAACAGCATGTCACTATGTTGCCCAGGCTGGTCTTTATCTCCTGAGCTCAAGCAATCCTCCCATTTCAACCACCCCAGTAGCTGAGGTTATAAGCATGAGCCACCACACCTTACGCTGAACCCAATGCCAATTTTAAAGATTTACAAACCAGTCATTTCAAATGAAGAATAATGAAGTCCAAGTGGAAAGAAAAACAAACAAAAAGTTTTAGTTATACCCAAAACAAAAAATACCCAAAAGGAACGCTTACACTAGGCGTCTGTATGGACACAGGCATAAAAGCACTGACTATGATGATGACAGACTGACTGCTCTGCCACCCTATCGCTAAAGTGGGCCCACCGATCCTGACCACACTGCTCAGGTCCAGCCCTAAGAGGCAGCATGGACAGAGCATGCTTTGCTTTGTCAGGATGGCTATGCAATGAAAATGCAGCTCTCTGAAGAGGGCCAAGTGAAGGGATGCTTGGGCTTGCTGGAAAGAAGCCTATTGGTTAGAGAAAAGCCTAGTGGAAATAGTCAGCTCACGGAATCGAAGGAAGTTGACCTAATCTCTTTCTCCTGAGAATTTCTGCCTGGACGAAGAAGGCAAAACTGGATCTCTGCATATAGAAGCACATGATAAACAGTTGTTGCTAGAAAAACTGTGGTTGTAATATGGGATAATATCTATTAAGAGAATAATACTTTTGCTGGGCATGGTGGCTCCTACCAGTAATCCCAGCACTTTGGGAGCCTGAGGCAGGTGGATTACTTTAGGCAAGGAGTTAAAGACCAGCCTGGGCAACATAGTGAGATCTCTGTTCCAAAAAAAAAAGTTAATTTTATTTATTTTTTTTTTTTTTGAGACAGAGTTCACCCTGTCACCCAGGCTGGAGTGCAGTGGTGTAATCTCAGCTCACTGCAACCTCTGCCTCCCGGGTTCAAGTGATTCTTCTGCTTTAGCCTGCTGGGTAGCTAGGACTATGGGTGCCCACCACCACGCCTGGCTCATTTTTGTATTTTTTAGTAGAGATGGGGTTTCACCTGTTGGCCAGCCTGGTCTCGAACTTTTGACTTTAAGTGATCCGCCCACTTTGGCCTCCCAAACTGCTGGGATTACAGACGTGAGCCACTGTGCCTAACCGCTACAATTTTTTTTTTTTTTTTTTTTGAGACGGAGTCTTGCTCTGCTGCTTTGTTAGTGACAGAGCGAAATGCCGAGATCACAGCTCACTGAAACCTCCACCTCCCAGGTTCAAGCAATTCTCCTGCCTCAGCCTCCTGAGTAGCTGGGATTACAGGCGCATGCCACCACACCCGGCTAATTTTTTGTATTTTTAGTAGAGATGAGGTTTCACCATGTTGGCCAGGCTGGTCTTGAACTCCTGACCTCGTGATTTGCCCACCTTGGCCTCCCAATGTGCTGGAATTACAGGTGTGAGCCATCGCACCCAGCCCCCCAAAATTTTTTTAAGTCAGCCAGGCATGGTGACATGCACCTGTAGTCCCAGATGCTCTGAAGGCTGAAGTAGGAGGATTGCTTGAGCCCAGGAATTAGAGGTTACAGTGAGCTATGATGATACCACTGCTCCAGGTTGGGAGACAGAGTAAGACCTTGTCTCTAAAAAAAATAAAAATAAAAATAAATAAATAAATAAATGTCAGGCCTCTGAGTCCAAGCTAAGCCATCATATCCCCAGTGACCTGCACGTATACATCCAGATGGCCTGAAGCAACTGAAGATCCACAGAAGTGAAAATAGCTTAACTGATGACATTCCACCATTGTGATTTGTGTCTACCCCACCCTAACTGATCAATGTTCTTTATAATCTCCCCCACCCTTAAGAAGTTTCTTTGTAATTCTCCCCACCCTTGAGAATGTGCTTTGTGAGATCCACCCCCTGCCCCCAAAACATTGCTCTTAACTCCACCGCCTATCCCAAAACCTACAAGAACTCATGATAATCCCACCACCTTTGCTGACTCCTTTTTCGGACTCAGCCCACCTGCACCCAGGTGAAATAAACATCCATGTTGCTCACACAAAGCCTGTTTGGTGATCTCTTCACACGGACACGTGAAACAATAATGCTAATAAAAAAGAGAATAATACTTTTGACTCTTTGATAATGGTCATTTTTCTCTGCTTTTCCTTTTTTTTTTTTGTCCCCCCTCATCAGAACAGAACTTTAACTAAAATACTGGCAGCTAACCACATTTAGAAAGACCAGATTGATGTGGAGAATTTGGAAATGGAAATAGGTTAGAAGAATCTGCCTGCAACAAAGATTTTTAACTTTATTTTTATTTTATTTTATTTATTTATTTATTTATTTATTTATTTATTTATTGAGACAGGGTTCTACTCTGTTGCCCAGGCTAGAGTGCAGTGGCATGATCACAGCTCACTGCACTCTTGACCTCTCAGGCTCAAGAGATCCTACCACCTTAGCCTCCAAGTAGCTGGGACTACAGACTGGCTAATTTTTTGTATTTTTAATAGAGATGGTTTTTTGCCATGTTGCCTAGCCTGGTCTTGGTCTTTAAATATTTATTTCTTTTAGTATTAAAAGTTAGCTCTTCACTGACAAAGCTAAGAGCACAACACAGGTTTATCAGAGAGTGATAGGAGGAGAGCAATGAGGAAATTGCTCCTCCCTCCCCCATCTAAGGGAACATCAGGAAATTGGTAATTTAGAATAACATGGGTGGGCAGAGATCTCTTTTTGTTTCCCAGATGGAGTCTTGCTCTGTCACCCAGGTTGGAGTGCAGTGGCACAGTCTCGGCTCACTGCAACCTCCGCCTTCCCATTTCAAGTGAAACTCCTGCCTCAGTCTCCCAAGTAGCTGGGATTACAGGCGTGAGCCATCATGCCTGGCTAATTTTTGTATTTTTAGTAAAGACGAGGTTTCACCATGTTGGCCAGGCTGGTCTTGACTCCTGACCTCGTGATCCCCCTGGCTCGGGCTCCCAAAGTGCTGGGATTACAGGCGTGAGCCACAGAGCCTGGCCTAGAAATATCTTTTAAAAGCATTCATGCCAGCCGGGCGTAGTGGCATGCTTCTAAGTGCTTCAAACCATTAAATATCCAGACAAACCAGACTCTTTTTTTGCCTATTCTAACTCTGTTTCTCTCCTTACATTGGACTCTTCTAGAATGTAGGAGTTTTTTTGTTTGTTTGTTTTTGGGTTTTTTGGCAGTTTTTACGGTTTTATGTAAACACAAAACATGCATATGAGCTATCTATTCATTTTCTTTGCTGCGCTGCCTGGCATTGGGGTTGGTGACTCTGATGGCCAGCTGGGCGGAACTTTCCATGATGGCTTTGAGGTTCTTGGTTTTTGTGAGCGATCTCAGCACAGTAAGATCTGTTACACATCAGCAGCACTTCCAGCTCCTTGATATTGTGGACCAGGAACTTCCGGAAGCCACTGGCAGCATATGCTTTGTTTTTTTTTGTTGTTGTTTGTTTGTGTTTAATTTTGTTGTTGTTGTTGCTCCCATAACCAATGTTGGACATCAAGATCTGGGCCTTGAACCTTCTATGAACCCTGTTGTCAATACCTCTGGGTTTCTCAGTTATGCTTCATTTTGACATATGGGTCTGACTGGTGCTGGATGAACTTCTTGGTTCTCTTTCTGATGATCTTGGGCTTCACAAGGGGTCTGATGCCGAGGAGGAGATGGCTGCCACCTCTGTAGGCAGCCCAGAGGAAGAGCTAGAATGTAGTTTTTAACTCACAATTCAGAACTCTCCTGAACCTACAGACTAGGTTAAAGTTCCTGCTAGCTACCTGCAGCATATAGCCCTTACTACTCTCATAGCACCTGTTAAGTAAGGAACTACTGAAATCACTTGCTTAATTACCTGATGTATGCTCCACCTGGGCAAGGATCTTACATGTCTTTTTTTTTTTAGACAGAGTCTCGCTCTTGTTGTCGAGGCTGGAGTACAGTGGCGCAATCTCGGCTCACTGCAACCTCTGCCTTCCGGGTTCAAGCGATTCTCCGGCCTCAGTCTCCTGAGTAGCTTGGATTACAGGTGCCCACCACCACGCCTGGCTAATTTTTGTACTTCTTCAATAAAGACAGGGCTTCGTCATGTTGGCTAGGCTGGTCTCGAAATTCTGACCTCAGGTGATCCACCCGCCTCGGCCTCCCAAAGTGCTGGGATTACAGATGTGAGCCACTGCACCCAGCCTCATGCCTTATTCAATTGTGTATCCACAGTGCCTACTATAAACCTGGGCACAGGACAGATGCTCAGTAAATAATTGTGGAATTAATAAATGAGTATTCTCTTATACCTCAATGTTGCTAAATATTTACGTTAGATGAATGGTGTGGTAGTTTGTTCTATTGATGGACCCCAATGAACCAAATCTCCTGCTATTTACATCTTTGTGCCGTCCCTTCTTGAAACTGACACATTTTAACCAGTAGGATACAGCTAAAGTTGCCCTGTTCCGGTTCCAGGCCTAAGTCTTAAGAAACCTTGAGCTTCCTCCTTTTGTACAAATGGAAGAAAATCCTCACAAACATAGTCCAACTCCTTCAACTACCAAGCTAGGAAGAAGCCCAAGTCTTCTATATGGTGAGGCCATGTGTAAGAGAACTAAGAACCCAGCTGGCAGCAAGAACTGAGGAACTCAGCTGAGCAAGAACTGAACCCCTTCTCCCACCAAACTCCACCAACTAGCACCAATGTCCCAGTCATGTGAATGGGCCACCTTCAAAGTGGATCATCCGACCCCAGTCAAGCTGCTCCAGCTGATGCCAAGTCCTGCATAAATCTCAGAACCAGGAGCGAATAAATGATAGCTATTGTTTTAAAGCACTGAACATGGGAATGGTTGTTATGCAGCAACTGATAATTGAGATAGAGAATAGGTGGATATTTACATTTCATAAAAATAAAATACAAACCATGTGCTCTATGTGCATGTATACCCAAAGATTTCCTGCAATGAAAGGCAGCAGATTTACAGAGAGAACTTATATATTTCCTGAACATACAATAGTCTAATATGTTATTAAACCAAGCATTATAGAGTGTTAGCATTTTTTCTTAGTTATGAAAAATAACTAATGTTTGCGAATATGAACGATTTACTATGTGCCCAGCACTTTGTATGCATAAATTCTCACAATAGCGATATGCTAAACATATTATCCCCAATTTATAGACAATGAAAATGAGAGTTAGAGAGGAAGTAACCAGGCCAAGGTCACATACTGAGCAAGATTCAGAGTCCAAATTTGAACTCAAACCATGCAACTTCAGAGCCCAAGGTCTTAATAACACTAGAGGGACTTCCTGAAAAAAAGCCACCACTACTTACCACTACCAAAACCAGTCATCAGAACAATGTAATTGTGCTCCTTCAAGGGAGAATTACTGTCACTATTTCCCTTTCTCTCCATTTCCATTCTCTTTCTCTCCAGCTTCAGCTGAGCTCCTCCAAGACTAGTGGTCTAGTGATGCAATCAGCAATCTCACTACATGACAGCCCCCCAACCAGAGTTTAGGAGAAAAATGATTCAGTCACGAAGGTGTTACCTCTAAAAAGGATTTGCAGAATGAGCATTAACCTTACCACACATGCAGCACCTACTGAAATAGTGCGATTGCAAGGAAATGCCTCTCAAACAAAGCATCTCTTCCCTGAGTGGTAGATGTCTGAAATCCGCCATTGTGAAGGGGAATGAAAAATGATCTGCCACATATTTCTGTATACCTGATTCTCTGGAGTCAATTTCCTCATCTGTAATATTAGAGAACTGATTTGTTAAATTCTGTAAAACTTTATGGTTCTTTTTTTTTTTTTTTTTTTTTTTTTTTTTGAGACGGAGTCTTGCTCTCTGTTGTCCAGACTGGAGTGTAGTGGAGCAATCTCGGCTCACAGCAACCTCCACCTCCCAGGTTCAAGCAATTCTCCTGCCTCAGCCTCCCAAGTAGCTGGTACTATATAGGCATATGCCGCCACACCTGGCTAATTTTTTGTATGTTAGTAGAGATGGGGTTTCACCGTGTTGCCCAGGCTGGTCTCAAACTCCTGAGCTCAGGCCATCTGCCCACCTGGGCCTCCCAAAGTGTTGGGATTACAGGCGTGAGCCACCGCACCCAGCCCTGGTTCTATTTTTTAATTTAAATTTAAGATAAATTTAGCAGCTATTAGGTTATTAAGTTAGGCAAGGGATTATAAAAATATAGTGATTTAATTGAAAGGTACTTGTCATAGATGGGTTTTATTTCTGTTCTGAAACCTAAAAGAAAGGATAGGATTCTGGGAACATAGACTATGTAAGTTATAGTCTACATAAGTAGACTACAAATATAACAGACTATATAAAATAAACCAATCACAAAAAGACAAATACTGAATGATTCCACTTATATGAAGCACCTATATAGAAAAATTCATAGAAATATAAAGAATAGTAGTTACCATGGGCTGGGATGAGGAGGAAATGGAGAGCTGTTCAATGAGTACACAGTTTCAATTTTGTAAAATGAAAAATTTCTGGAGATTACTTGCAGAACAATGTGATTATACCTAATACTACTGAACTGTACACTTAGAAATGGTTGATAAATTCTATATTTTTTATCACAATTTAAAAAAATAAATAGAATATACACACCCCATGAATGGTACAGAGAGTACTACTTCAGTGGCTTGGGGAAATGAGAGATTCATTGCTGTCATGTGAATGACATCAGCGTAACAAGAAAAGCCCCCTTGTAGGAAGATGGGTGGCAGCCCTTGAAGATGATGAATGTTGACAGGTAGAGACAGGAAGATGAAGAGATAAGCAAAATTGGGGAGGTGGAAGAAGCTGTAATGCATTGGGAGATAGGAAGGAACCCAGTCTGATTTAACACTTAAGCAATGTGCACAGAAAAGAAATGCTGAAAGAATCACATCCAGGGAATATTTTATTCTATTCTATTCTATTCTATTTTTTATTTTTATTTTTGAGACAGAGTATCTCTCTGCCACCCAGCCTGGAGTGCAGTGGCACAATCTCAGCTCACTGCAATCTCTGCCTCCCAGGCTCAAGCGATCCTCTCACCTCAGTATATTTTGTAGAGACAGGGTTTCACTATGTTGCCCAAGCTGGACTCGAACTCCTGGGCTCAAAGGATCCACCCACCTCAGTCTCCCACAGTGCTGGGATTACAGGCATGAGCCACCTCACTCAGTCAGAATTTTAAATTCACTGAAGTTAGAGTTATATTTCCAGTGTGTATCATTTCTTCATAATTGAGGCAACATGTGCGATTGCTCTAGGGAATGAACTTTTTATTGCTTCAATTTTAGATTGATAAGATCACATTATGATGTATCATTAGGAACAGCTAATAACAGTAATGATCTAATAAGTGTAATGCAATCTAAGACACTTCACAAATAAACAAAAATTAAACCAAACTGGGCAACATGCCCAGATTACTTCCTACACACACCAACAAAATACTACAAAAGTAAAAATGGAAACAAATGTCTCCCAAAAATGGTGGTTATTTTTGGGTAGTAAAACAATGGAACTTTTTTCTTTTTCTCTGTGTTACTTCTTATTTCTGTTTTAAAAATAAGCATGAACATCTTTTGATAATGGGAAAATATTTAATGATATAAATTACTATTATACATGGCATCAGAATACAAGAGAACCACTTCTTGAAATCCCAAAAGAAAAATGGTGAGGAACCCACCTCTATCTCACCAACTGGGGATTCCAGCTACTTGGTGGCAGGCAAATTGCCTTTCATTGATTTTATACACCCTAACAGGGCTCCTCACAGTCTACTTTCTCCAGTAAGTAGTTTTTGACTATTAATGACTCTGGACACAGGAAAAGGAAAGGGTCTAAGCCATCCCAGGAATACATTTTGGCCCTGAATTTAACTAGAAAGAGGGAATAGCAGAAATGCTCCCACTACTCACCATGCTAAAGATAATATTTTTCAGCACTTGTCGAGTCCCATCAGTGAGCCAGCTAAGGAGCTCAGTTCCTTCTCCAAAAGATTAGAAAGTAGGCATCTTGTTCTCTTAAGGAGAGACTGTGAGTAGGCTTAAAATTGAATTCACACTTTTCATCTCTAATGGAAATCAATGTTACTATTCCTTCTGTTTCCTTCCACAGATATACTATGCATATATATATGCAAATATGTATTTTACACACACAGACACCACATCATATAATTAATCTCTGTTAGCCGGACGTGGTGGCTCACGCCTGTAATCCCAGCACTTCGGGAGGCCGAGGCGGGTGGATCACCTGAGGCCAGGAGTTTGAGACCAGCCTGGCCAACGTGGTGAAACCCCATCTCTACTAAAAATACAAACATTAGCCGGGTATGGTGGCGGGCGGCTGTATTCCCAGCTACTTGGGAGGCTGAGGCAGGAGAACTGCTTGAACCCAGGAGGCGGAGGTTGCACTGAGTTGAGATCGCACCATTGCACTCCAGGCTGGGCGACAGGGTGAGACTCCGTCTCAAAAAACACACAAACAAACAAACAAAATTGGTCTCTGTCTTCAGTTTTTCCTTTTCTTTTCTATGCAATATATTTAACCTATAGCTATGGCGTTAATTCTTGTTGATCTGAGTCAAAGTTGAACTGTTTAATTGAATTGAAGAAAATTTCGTTAATTCATTCCACAAATGTTTAATTTGAGCTAGGTGCTGGGTCTGTATCAGTGAAAAAAA